CACTTAAACAATATTACTAACCTTTAGGAATTAAAACTATGTCGTCTAGAAGTTTTCGTTGATACCAACCTTGTCTCCGCCATTTTTCGGGAAATTTTCGCGTTACTAGAGAAAGAGAGGGAGAGAGAGTGAGAGAGAGAGAGTGTGTGTGTGTGTGTGTGTGTGTGAGTGTGTGTGTGTGAGAGAAAGTGAGTGAGGGACAGTGAAAGAGAGAGAACGTGATATATACAAGGTGTTTGATAGCTGATCATGCAGACGAAAGTTGGAGATAGATTGGGTGTAGCCGAGAAGAAAAGTCATGTACCATAATGTCAAATTGGCAATAGTTACCGAGTTATTAATTCAAACATGTGAGCCAACGAGCGCGTAGAGAGCGGAGGGCGGCCGCAGTAAGCACGTAGACATTTGATACAGACGGAGTCAGCGAGTAACAGTAGGCGAGCGCGCGCGGTGAGGGCAACGTAAACAACAAGTGGCGAACGCGCGCGACGAGGAGCGAGCGAGTGCGAACGACGAGGAGCGAGCGAGCGCAAGCGACAAGAGGCGAGCGAGCGCGACGAAGAGCGAGCGAGCGCGAACGACGAGGAGCGAGCGAGCGCGAATGACGAGGAGCGAGCGAGCTATAAGGAAATAGCTATAAAGAAAAAGCTCGCTCACTTCTCGTCGCGCGCGATCGCCTCTTGTCGTTTACATTGCCCCTCACCGCGCGCGCTTGCGCTACTCACTGACTCCGCCTGTATCAAATGTCTACGTGCTTACTGCGGCCGCCCTCCGCTCTCTACGCGCTCGTTGGCTCACATATTTTAATTAATAACTCGGTAACTATTGCCAATTTGACATTATGGTACATGACTTTTCTTCTCGGCTACACCCAATCTATCTCGATCTTTCGTCTGCATGATCAGCTATCAAACACCCTGTATATATATAGGTTTTTCGATTTAATCTGTCCAAGCCGATATTTCGTGAACTAGCAAAGCCAAAAGAAAAATCAAGAAAGGTTCTTCAATGATCTTACTTCGAGATGATTTTCCGAGCGGTGGAACCATACCTTTTCGTATCGAACTTCAAGGCAGGGAGGGGCGCTCAAATTTTTTAAATAGAAATCCTCTACGAAAATAACACCAGTTGATAGGGCTCGAAAGGACGAATCCTACGACCTATATTTTTATTTGCTTATTGTGAAAATGACGACCGCTATGATTTTTTTAATATAACTTACGAAGGGTGCTGTTCGAATAATCTGTCCAGACCGGTATTTCGTGAACTAGCGAAGCTGGAAGAAAAGCCGAGTAAAGTTCTTCAATAGCCTTACTTCGAGATGATTTTCCGCACAGTGGAACCGTACCTTTCCGTACCGGACTTCGAGGGGGAAGAAGCGCTCAAATTTTTTAAACAGAATCCTCTACGAAAATAACACCAGTTGATAGGGCTCGAAAAGACGAATTCAACGACCTGTATTTTTAGATATTTATTGTGCAAATGACGGCCGCTGTGATTTTTTGAAAATAACTTACGAATCGTGCTGTTAGAACAATCTGTCCAGACCGATATTTCGTGAACCAGCAAAGCTAGAAGAAAAATAAAAAAAAGTTCTTCAATGGCCTTACTTCAAGATGATTTTCCGCGCGGTAAAACCGTACCTTTTCGTATCGGACTTCGAGGAGAGAGGAGTGCTCAAAATTTTTAAATGGGAACCCTCTACGAAAATTACATTAATCAATAGGACTCCAGACAACGAATCCTAATACCTCTTCGTGACTCTTCCGAGCATCATTACACTTTAAACGATTTTAAAATCTTATAGCATTACTGCATAGCGCAACGACTGCATGGCGCAGTAATGCTATAAGATTATAAAATCGTTTAAAGTGTAATGATGCTCGGAAGAGTCACGAAGAGGTATTAGGATTCGTTGTCTGGAGTCCTATTGATTAATGTAATTTTCGTAGAGGGTTCCCATTTAAAAATTTTGAGCGCTCCTCTCCCCTCGAAGTCCGATATGAAAAGGTACGGTTTCATCGCGCGGAAAATCATCTCGAAGTAAGGCCATTGAAGAACTTTTTTTGATTTTTCTTCTAGCTTTGCTAGTTCACGAAATATCGGTCTAGACAGATTATTTGAACAGCACTCTTCGTAAGTTATTTTCAAATAATCATAGCGGCCGTCATTTTCACAATAAACATATAAAAGTATAAATCGTTGCATTCGTCCTCTCGAGCCTTATCAACTGGTGTTATTTTCGTAGAGGGTTTCTGTTTAAAAAATTTGAGCGCTTCTCCCCCTTTCGAAGTCCGGTACGGAAAGGTACGGTTCCTCCGTGCGGAAAATCATCTCGAAGTAAGGCCATTGAAGAAACTTTTTTAAATTTTCTTCTAGCTTTGCTAGTTTACGAAATATCGGCCTGAACAGATGGTTCGAACAGCACTCTTCCTAAATTATTTTCAAAAATCATAGCAGCCGTCATTTTCACAATAAGCATATAAAAATATAGACCGTTGAATTCGTCTTTTTGAGCCCTATCAACTGGTGTTCTTTTCGTAGAGAGGTTCTGTTTAAAAAATTGAGCGTCCCTCCCCCCCTCGAAGTCCAGTACGGAAAGGTACGATTCCACCGCGTGGAAAATTATCTTGATGTAAGGCCATTGAAGAATCTTTTTTGATTTTTCTTCTAGCTTTGCTAGTTCACAAAATATTGGTCTGGACAGATTGTTCGACCAGCACCCTTCGTAAGTTATTTTCAAAAATCATAGCAGCCGTCATTTTCGCAATAAGCAATATAAAAATATAGGTCGTAGGATTCGTTATTTTGAGCCCCATTAACTGGTGTTATTTTCGTAGAGGGTTTCTGTTTAAAAAATTTGAACGGCGCTCCCGCCCTTGAAGACCGGTACGGAAAGGTACGGTTCCACCGCGCGGAAAATCATCTCGAAGTAAGGCCATTGAAGAATTTTTTTTATTTTTCTTCCAGCTTCGCTGGTTCACGAAATATCGGTCTGGACATATTATTCAAACAGCACCTTTCGTAAGTTATTTTCAAAAAATCATAGCGGCCGTCATTTTCACAATAAGCATATAAAAATATAGGTCGTTGAATTCGTCTTCACTCTCTTATTCGCTCACCCTTGCACTCTACAAGCGCGCGCTACGCGTAGATGATGGCGTCTTGGCGCTTTGGCACCGCGCGACGGTCAGCGCGAGCCGCGTTACCGCTTAGTCCCCACGCACACAGCTTGCCGCGAAGCGTCTATAGGCCGCGATGGGCGTCGAAAACGCCAAACTTTACGCGGTTATTATATCGGATGAAGATATATATATACAGGATGGTTGATTATAAGTTGCCAACCCGAAATGTGTAGGTAGATTGGGTTAAGATAAACATAAAAGCCCTATACCGTTTTTCGAGATTCGCAATAATTATCGAGTTATTAATGACAGAAATCTGAGGAATGGGAGCGCGCCGACATAGATGATTGGAGAAGCGTTGCAGCTACTCAGTCCACAGCACGGCCCACTCGACCTAGCAACTGTTGGCGGCGTGCGGCGAGACGTAAGTCCGGCGAGATAAAACAACGAATAGCAGCGCATTGTCTTTCCCTCGCCGCGCACCGGCAACAGTTTCTGGATCAACTGGGCCGCGCTACGGCCTAACCCGACAAAGACAGCACGTGAAATCCACGTGAATTCCACATTGATGATCTACGTGGAATCCATGTGGATAATCGGGTAGATATCTTCTTATAAACGGTAGTCAAATCCACATGGATTCGATCATCGATGTGACGTGGACTCCACATAAAAATTTCGCCATATCTGCATAATATCCACATAGTATTTACATGTAATCGTTTCATAATATTGCAAAGTTGTATATAAAAAATGTAAACAATATAAGAAAGTACATGATATTTATTTGGTATCTTTTTTTCCATCAAATATTATATTATATATCGTTACAACATAATATATTTATACATGTTGTATATTGTTATAACATAAGTATACATTTTTTCAAAAGAAAAAGAAACACAAGTTGCATACATATTAAATGCATACATATTAAATAAAACATAGACTATTAATATACAAATATGGGGCATTCCATATGAAGTGATACACCCAAATTTTCAAAGTCGTACGATTATGCTGAAATTTGCACAAATTGTAGTCCTATCACAACTAAGATTTTTGGCCAAATTGTTTGACTCACGACCAACGGGTTGTCTAGTAACAGAGACTTGAAGTTTTAGCATTTAGGCCGTTGTATCCAACTTCAAACGCCAGTAAGTTCCAGTAGACTATTCCGATTTTCAAAAACAAGGAGTGATTTCTAAAAGTCTTTTTGCGCCCTTTAATCCTATGAAATCCGTCTTGTTTTTAAGTCAAAATTTATTTAAAATTTTTGAAGGATAAGAAAGAAATTGTTTTTTCTCCAATTCAGACAACTTTGATTTTCTTCGAAAATATTTTTAAAAAAAGTAGAATTCTTGCCCTTTAAAATGATTCCAAGATCAAAATGGGCAGACTTTTAGTTTTCAAGATACAGCTTGTTTTAGGACCGAGCGCGTCACGCACGGTGCAGCTCGGCCGCTGTTGCAACTGCCACGGATGATCCGATCAGTTCTATTGCTTGTGGCCAGACGTGATGTGATCTGTGTCATATATAAAAAATATAAAAAAAATAAAAAAAATAAATTTAAAAATTAAAAAAAATTAAAAAAATAAATAAAAAATAAAAAAAATTAAAAAAATTAAAAGAAATAAAAAAAATAATAATAAATAATAAATATAAGTTTTATAAGAAAAATGTTTTAGATAAAAGTTGTAAGACTTAAAACTATTTATTAGCTTTATCAGTTTGACCTTGGGTTGCGTCGCCAAGATCAAGTGAAAATTACCTCGAATTTTTTAAATGTAATCCTACAATAAGCTTTCCGCAAAATAGTTTTTTAATAATTGTTTCTATGTATATTATAGCAATTAAAAATAATCGTACCTTGTGTTATTTTATAGAAACCTCGATCGTCACTATTGTCATATTCTCTTACTATGTTGTCTTACCTGTTTGTTTGTAAATCTTTTAGAACGTTACACTTATTTTTCTTTGAAAGATTAGGGTTTATATTTTCATTAATACTTTCATCAATAGATGAATCTGTAAAAAAAATATTAACATAAATGAAATAGTTAAAAAAGAAAATTATATAACCTAAACAAACAAAATTTTTAAAAAATGCAAACTATTACAAGTAACAATACTGAAAAAAAGAAAATTAACATGTAAAGTCAGAATGACTACTGTTTTAATATGTTTAACAAGTACATAAGCATCTTACTTTGTGCTTGATTTGTATAATTATTGTTGCAAGTATCATCAGGATGTGAAAATAGTGATGTCTTTTCCTTATTTGCTGAAATGTCAAAGAAAATTAAAAAATCAGAAAAACAAAAAGTTTTATATACTACATATATGTAATAAATGAAAATAAAATTAAGTATATAATATATATATAATATAATATAGTATATAATATAATATATAATATAATAAAAGAATTAACCATTTATCTTTAAGCTTTTTACAATTGGTGCTTGTAACTCAATATCATGTCTCATATCTCATAACTCAATATTACTGTCTGAATCAGAAGAATATATAGTACTTTTTCTTCGACTCATTGATGTTACAGTCAAAGGAGGACTGTATCTTCTAGTTACAATTCGTTGGCGCTTAATGTTTCCATCCTTGTCAGACTGTGACAGATCCGAGATATTTAAAGCTTTTTCTTCTTTAGCTTGTCTTATAGATTCTAACATGCAATTAGGACAAGAAGCAGAAAAACATGATAGCTTAGATAGATTAGAAAAGATAGAAATAAAAGAACATTAGTGTTGCAAATGAATTTGACGTATTAAAAGACATGTCCCTTATGTATTATAAAAAAAAATAATGAAAAGGAGAAAGCAAAAGCCAACAGATTACTTATAAAAATAATAGCACAAAACTCTGATATATACACAAAATATAATACTTACTACAAAACTTCAAAATTTTAACATTTTCATATGTAATCCAATTCACAGTTGTTTTCTTTCTTTTTTCTAAATGGTCGCTTAGTTTTAATTCGTGTGGAGGCTATTTGCATAGAGCTGCAAATGTAACTTATTTGCCATCTTTTGCAGACACTTTTATAGTTATATTCTCCAGCCACGCAGTACATGCTGGCACTGCATAAACAGTTGACTCCAATTCATTTTCTATAGGTAATTCAAGTACAGCATACTGCAATAAAATAGAATTATTCTTCTCTTCTGTCTCTCTCTCTCTCTCTCTCTCTCTCTCTCTCCCCTCTCTCTCTTTCTCCCCCTCTCTCTCTCTCCCTCTCTCCCTCTCTCTCTCTCTCTCTCTCTCTCTCTCCCTCTCTCTCTCTCTCCCTCTCTCCCTCTCTCCCTCGCTCCCTCGCTCCCTCGCTCTCTCTCTCTCTCTCTCAAGCTAAGTTTCTCTTGGACACTTTTGTACTGAAAACATTATCCGATTTTCCTTTACCCAGAGAAAATAATCATGTGGATTCGACGTGATATTCTGATTGAGTATATGCAATAAAGTATATGCAATAAAGAGTATATGCAATAAACAATAAAAACAAAATGACTATCAGCACAAAAGCATTCAGGATGAACTTAACCTAATTATTCCTCTTTATCAACTTACCGGCTTATCCGCATATATTTGCATACTCATAGATATAAACAAATACGATATGAAAATGATAGAAACAAATACTATTGCTAATAGTAACAATTGAAATGAAAAGCAAAATTCCGTAGCTTAACAATACTTCCAACAGATTTTATACGTGATTTAAAAGAAAACTAAAGTACTTCTAACAGAAGATTCTCGATAGAATTCGATATATCGATTTTCCATCACTGCACTGCTGTCGATAACAATAACAAAATGTATCATAGTATTGCGAAGAGATTGCAATAATACAGTAATACTTTTGTTTTTATTAATTATTTGCTTATTAGTCAATTTCTATTCTAAATAAAGCATATAAACTGCATTGTCGTCTCAGGCTGAGTTTTGATATTCACTCTCAGTTTCAAAATATTATAAAATATTATAAATGATTGGCAGAAAATTTGAAGAAAAATCTAATCTCTTTTCGTATCCATTCTCATCAAATCTTATAAACATATATATAGTTAGCACTCTTGGACTTTTACACAGATGGTGCTTAGATGATGTTAAAAGGAAAATTGTATTATTACCCTTCCCTGAAAAGAATGCGGAAGATAATACAATTATATCAAAAAACGTCTGTTTTCCAATGCCTCATTCTGAAATACTGTTTTAGTACAGTAACTTACTATTGTTTTAGCATAGTATCGAATTGAATATGTGTGTAAGGAAAACTTTTTTTTTTTTTTTGATAACGCAGGGGAAACCCATCATGGGTACCCTCCACCTCCTGGGAGGGGCAGAGGGTTATGTGAGACTCTTACTCACTAAAACCCCTGCGGGGTGTCTACCAGTCGGACCGAGATGGGGGGAGTCAGGGGAACTGCGCCAACATTCCCTCCCCGACACCCTGGCCCCAGGGCTCGTTATCGAACCCCACACCCAAGTGCCGCGTCCCCTTCTCCTTGAGGAAAAGATTTGTGTGTAAAGAAAACTATGTAACATATAAATCAAATATAATAAATATAAAATTATTTTAATATTGTTTTATTCTATAATTATTATAATCTATATCACTGTTTCTTTCTTCTATAGAATAATATTGTTTTTTACAATACAAAATTATCTTATCTATAATATATATGGAGATCCAAATATTCGTACATTTTAGTACCTCTCAAAAGTGACATTACGATTTACAATATGCCTTGATTGATTAATCTTATATAGGGTTTTTAAAGTTCCAGAGCAATCACATACTTATAGATTATATCATTCTGGACAAAAAAGTCTTATACATATTAGAAATAACTATGCACAGTTTTCAGTTATTAATAAAATAAAAACTTATTATCTGGGTCACACTTCTCATCATTGACTGAATGAGGCTATACAATTTAGACTATATCTCTACATACTATATTTATTACATATTACATTTATAAAACCGTTTCCTTTAATAAATAACTCCAAATTCTGCGTTTACTTACAAAAATAGAACTTCTTTCTTTATTTCGACGTATGTTTTCACAAGAATATTTCGAAATGTCTACGTAGAATCTATATTGATATTTCGAGGATGAAATGCTTCGATTTATCGATAACAAAAGAACGTTACATCCACGTCGATATTTCGTGGATAAATGTCCATCCACATAGTCCACGTAAATTACGTAGATTCGATGTGGATATAACGTTGATGTCTTTGTGGGGAAGCAGCTGCAACGCTTCTCCAATTATCTATGTCGGCGCGCTCCCATTCCTCAGATTTCTGTCATTAATAACTCGATAATTATTGCGAATCTCGCAAAGCGGTACGGGACTTTTATGTTTATCTTAACCCAAACTACCTTCACCTTCGGGTTGGCAACTTATAATCAACCACCTTGTATATGATGTATACGATATACAAGGGTATCTCAGAACTTTGGGACACGGGCTCCATAGGGACATAGAGCTAAGTGAGAGGAATAAAAAAGTCCTATATCATAGTGTGAAAATCGTAATGGTTTTTTAGTATATATGTATGCTTTATTGCTTCCCTCATCGGGTTACAAACTCCAATCTCTCCTCCTTACTCCTAATTTTATTTCTAGTCCGCTCACTCGCTCCCTCTCACACCCACACACCCCCCCTTATCCTAACTTAACACTAACTTAGAACTACCTTATTTCTACATCGCTTCTTATCTCTATTTCTCTTAACCTTAGATGCTGACTTCTGTTTCCTCACATGCATTCCATTCCTGATTTGGAAAAGAAAAGTCATAAGCTTCAAGATATGATTAATGTTACGTTCTCACATTGGTATCAATCGCTTAATGGATCATGTGAACAATGTGCAGGAAACGATATGTTATTTAAAAATGAATTAATATTGACACAAAAAATAATTGTTATACGTATAATATTATTTTCATTATAGAGTGCTAAATTGATGCAAATACCTACAATTAATATATGCGCTGTCCCAACAACTAAAGTATTAATAGTTGGCCAATTTTATAAAGGTATGAATGTCATATTTCATCATGGATCAAGTATTGATAATGGTCATTATACAAGTATTTGTAGAAAGTAAAAGAAGGCGCCTAGTACACGAGTCCCAGCGTTTGTTCCGTATAAAAATCCGTATAAAAAATACTGATTTTTTAAAAATTGTTTTTAATATTATTTAATACAAATATTATTTAATACAAAATATTTAATACAAAGAAATAAAGACGAAGATAATAGTTCTCGGATATATAATTAACCGTTCTATATAGAAAATCCCGTAAAGGACTAATTTCTAAAAACAAATTCCAAAAAGACGTTACAAAAAATAAAGACAAAGATAACTATATTATAGAATATTATGAAATGTTATATTTTAACCTGCCAAAAACTGTATCCTTGTATAAAAAGAATGTTCAGAGAAAATTATTAATACGTTTGTACAAAAAAAATGTTACTTCTTAATACCTTATAACAAAAATAATGAAATAAAAAAATTGCGCCGATTGGCAATGCAAAAGTATGTTATATAAAACATAACAAACGATGAAGCAAAAAAAAACTAATAGAGTAAAAAGTTTCTAGAATTAAAACATTTGCGTTTTATAACCAAGAATAAAGAAATTATTATATTATACAAAGAATTTAATCTTAAGAAAGTCATATTTATTGACAGTACAAAAAGTATCTACTGACTAAAACTTAAAAAATGCAAAAATTAAAATTAAAAATATAAAATAATTAAAAAAATTGATAAACAATCAAATAATAAATAACAAAAATGAAATAAACAGAATAATAAACATAATAAACATAATAAAATAAATGAAAACTAAAATTAAGATTTAGACAAAAACACTTGGCGTGCCCTTGTATACGTGCTCAGGATGCATCAGAACAAAAGTCCTAATAAATTGTACATTTCAATCTTCTAGTAATCTTCTAGTAATAATATTAACGTTATTTTTATATATACAAGGGCACGCCAAGTGTTTTTGTCTAAATTTCCTTCCTCTCTTTCCATCTCCATATTACCGCTCCGTACCCCATCACCGTCCATACTAACTTGTCGAAAAGCCAAATCCTTCTTCTTCAATCCTTTCGCCATATCCTCTTCCCTATACCCCATACTTCCCTCATCACCACCGCTGCCTTCCTGACCCTCTCCTTAATCTGTGCCTCCTGTCCTCCATTGCTTTGTATCATATATCCTAAATATCTATATTCTTTCACTTCCTCTAACCTCTAGCCCTTCCACCTCCATTCCCTTTTCACCCTTCTACCACCTCCCCTCCTAAATCTCATTACCTTTGTTTTCTCAATATTCAATTCTAACCCGTTTCCTTCTAAATATCCCTCCAGTCATCACCTTTATCAACACCTTTCCCCTGTCCACCGAATCAAATGCCGCTTTCAGGTCCACGAAAATCGCCGTCAACTTGCTATCTTTCCTTCCCAGTTGTCTATTTATCAGATAATTTATCGCGTACACCTGGTACATTGCCCCCATCCCCTTTTTGAAACCTGCCTGACTTCTCGACAGTATCTCTTTCCCTTCCACCTCGTCCCTAAGCCTATCCGCCACTATCGCCGCATACACCTTATACAATGCCGTCATAATCGTTACCCCCCCTTAACTCCGACACCTTTTCCTCTCTTCCTTTCTTCACCACCGGTACTACTACTCCCTCATTCCACTCTTCCGGCCATCCCTCCCCCCTCAAAACCCTCCTACATATCTCCCACGCCCATCTTTCTACCTCCTCTCTTCCTATCT